TAAAATCAAAACTTTCCACATCTCCGCCCTTCTTCAGCTTTAACAGCCACCAGATGATTGACTCAAATCTCTCTGACTAGATTGGACGAAGCATGATATTACAATAAGAGGCGAGAACAGTAAAGCTCGTCATAGTCTCCGGTCATCATAAGTAGTTTCCATGAACTTGTACTGACACCTAGAGGCCAGAACATGAATTGCAATGTTTCACTTACAGCTGACAGGAGAAAATTCACAACTTAAGACGTGATGCATACAAGAGAGGAGGAAACTAAATTAGTCCATGACAAAATAAAACCAAGTAGTTCTGTCCAAATAATGGAGACTGCAGTTAAGTTGTTTTCCTGATCTAACAAACAGACCTAACCTACTTTGGGCGATCAAATGATGCCTGATGCTTTCACTTAACTTTACTTACATTTGTAGCTTTTCCCGTTGCTTTTGAATAACTGATTTCAAGATCATTTATAGTTTATGAGCATGGCCTTAAATTCATTATTTTTATTTGTTTGTTTTGTACTCATTTCCTGTTCATGGATCAAATCCCAGTTTAGTTAACAACAACAACAACATTTCAAATGTATGTAATTTCAAGTTTGAAATTAAGTCTCTTCATGTTTTCAGGCGATCAAAGCCAGGGTGCTGCTTCTCCTGTGCAGCTGAAAAAGGATGTTGAGAGCATGGAGAAAGGTAAGGCCTGTTTGAGCACATCTCAGCTGCACTGACCATAGAAAACTAGTAATCTATACTAGATGGACATTAGTGGACATTTGTGAGATTGTGAGAGAATATTTTAATGCAACCACTCTCATATTTTCCTTCTGCTTTCTTCTGTCCTTGTGTAGAAGAGCTCCAGAAGGTTCTGCTGGAACAGATCGACTTCAGGAGGAGACTGGAGCAAGAGTTTCACGCTTTGAAGGGCACCTCACCATTTCCTGTCTTCCGTAAGTCCGTTTTTTTCCCCCTTACCCTGATTTCCTTTTAGTTTCCATACTCTGAAGGGCAACTTCTCCTTTTCTGTCTTTCTTGCGGTCTCTTACATCTTTACCTTTATCCCCATTTTTACCTTTCAGTTTTTTATTTTCCCCAATTTTTTTGCTCAACCCTTTTCTGTCATCGGCTGTCTTTATCACTCCAATTTTCCAAAATGACAATACACGCGCCACCTAATCAAGGTTTGTTTTTATTGTACGCTAATTTCAGACAATTTTCAAGATCAGATGAAACGAGAGCTCGCCTACAGAGAGGAGATGGTCCAACAGTTACAGATGGTAAGACTACTAATGTTAGTGCTTAACACTGATGGAAATATGCTTTTAAACGACAAATTAAACACCCTTTTTTAGATACACAAATTAAAAGAAAATCTTCATGATTGCCTTAAAAAATGTCTGCAAGGATTTTGAGAAAAAATATAATTAAGACTAATTATGCAGTACTTACTAAAATACAGTGACATCACATCAACCGAAACAAAACAAAAAAATCAAATACCGATGAGTAAATGTGCCAGTCAATTCTCTGACTACTGCTAGAGATTGTATGCATACTTGGGAAATCCTTTCCATGGGTTAAAACAAAAACAAAAATTAAATGCTGAATAAATGAAGCCATCACTAGGACTTGACCGGACACATGCGTTTGCTTATTTGTCCATCAAAAGACAGAGCCAATCATCTAGTTTGTCTTTCACGGGTGAGAAGTTCCTTTGCAGCCATCTGAGTGTTTCCGTCGACATCAATCACTGGAGCAGCTGGCAGACAGGCTGACAGACGCTGTTTGTCTTTGTTTTCTGACACATGCCACCACTGTACACGCTTGTGTGCACACAGTGGCAAGGCGTGCGCCAAAACGCACACAAGAACATGCTGCATTCATGTAATCACAAAGGCAGGCAATTATGAATATGGGTTCAAGCTAATTTATAAGCCTGTATGTGCACACCAAATGCACATACTCACGTAAACAATTGACAAATGTGTCTAGAACCAGCAGATGGATCTGTCTGAGAGTAATGACACATTAATTTCACACAGACATGCAAATGAACTCCAAAAAATGTTTAATTTGTGTTGACAGACTTTTACTTTCACCAGCTTGGCTAGAGTTTTGGATTTTCATATTTCCACCAATGATAAAATCATAATAGTAAAGTTTACTTTAGAGAACCTTTTTCAGTGTTAAATGTATTTCTTTAGGAAGATTGTAACGTTTTATGTCTTGTTTTTGCCTTTCAGATTCCCTACGCAAACATCATCAGAAAAGAAAAGATCAGCTCCCATCTCAACAAGTAGCAAAGAGGTGAATATTTTTCAGTAAATTTAAAATGAAGCTTGAAGAAATGTAAAAATAAATAGTTATCACATAAAAAGCTTTTGACAAGCTACACATTATTAAGCCTCATATTTACATCATAATAGAGATAATGGCAAGACAGTGAAATATGCTTAATTTTCATTTGATTGATAATAAACTGTCTTATAGCATTAACACATTTGGCATTACTGGCTAAATTTTATTATAATTTTCTGGGGTGATTCTAAACAATCAGTTAAATCAGTATGGCAAAACTCTTACCCTGAATGTAAAACTAATGTAATTTCCATTTCTTTTAGGATTAGCACACAGAAAACTGACAGAGACCATCACCGACAGAGAGGATGTGAAACTATATCATACATTATATTACTTTTCGCGGGACAGCAATTATTCTGCTGCTTCTTCGATATCACCTCTGTTAGTTGCTCTCTACACACTGCCTGCTAAGAACTCATGTGAGGCTGTGGGACATCATACTGGTAAAAGATTTCTAAAGTTTTTCCTCTTCTTCCCTGGTTCAAGTTCCCTAACTGAACTTAATTGACTGAAACCTGTGACACTGCGAGTGTGTTGGCAGTCACGTTCAAAGCATTAACCAACCGGGACCAAAGCAACCTCGGCCTTTGAGGACCACCAGGAAGGCAGTTGTAGATGTCAGAAAACTAATTTCCAGGCATAAAAAAAAGTAAATAAAGATTGGATGTTTTTATCTGCCCGTGGGCTCAGCTGTACATTGGCCAAACTCTGGATGAAAAAGGACTAAGATAGGTTGTATTTGTATCACCAAGTGATGGCCCTGAAGAGAAACAAGCACGACAACATTTATTTATTATCAACATTTGATCCCAAAGGGACTTCATCATGTTCAACTCTAATCCTTCCCTGTAAACACGAGCCACCACCACCAGTTTGTCAGTGGCTGGACACACACAACCTTGGTTTAGTATGTCAGATGAATTAAAATAAATAAATAAAGCACTTGAATTTACAATGGTACTATTACAACATGGCACCACAAAAAAAATGTCCACATATATATATATATATATATTCATAAATTTTGCAGTTTACAACTCTATTAACAGCATTTCAAAACCACCGTTTTTACCTTGTCCTTAATTAATGTCACATCTGATTATATTTAATACTTTATTTATAAAGTCAGAGTTACCTGAAATGATGTCCTGTGTCACATTAACTGCAGACTGTGTACCATATGGAACCGAACAGCTGTAAGACACAGTGAAGGTATGGTTCATTCTCCCAACAGACGTTTTCCTGTTGTAACGTCTTATGATTATCACTAAATAAATATTGCTGCCATCAGCTGCAGAATCTGCCTCGTTGTTTTGGAAATGAAAAACTCTGGACACGTGCTTTCTCTCCAGAAAGAGCATCTGACAGCAAAGGCCTGAAGTTCGTCAGTGTTGTATATTTATATGTAAATTATTTCACCTTATTGTATAAAATGTCATACATGTGAATACTGATCTTCACAGTCATTCTACCTATCTCTTTGTGTGTGTGTGCGTTTTGTTTTTGTTTTTTTGCTTTTTTTGTTTATTTATTTGAGTATCAACTCCTGAGACCCCAATTGTGATAATACTATTTATTATAATGTGAAATGAAAAAGAAAGAGACACAGGGGTGGTGGCGATGATGGTGATGTTTGAGCAAAATCAAAAAGAGCAAAAGTGACAACCCACTCATCTTGTTTATAAAATAAATGGACAAAGTTGTCATTTACTGAGAAAATGTTATCATTAGAAGCTGTTATTGCAGATGTATTTCAGAATGTTCTTGTAGTTTCTCTACTATTTATGTGTAAATTAAAAGTCTATATGAAAAACTGAATGTGGAGGACTAGTTCATGTTTGCGTGGATGGAGTCCCTTTACCCAGAGCATATTTACATGAAGTTCTTTCTGAAACTAAAAGCAGGCTGTTAAGAAGATCCCAGTTATTATATCTTCTGTGGTTCAGAAGATGAAGTGGGCTGTTGACTAGTCAGAAGTAAGTGTTTTTCTATATGTCAAACTGTCCTTCAGCAAGATACTGAATGCTCAGTGCATCCATCAGAGTGTGAGTGTGGAACTGTTACGTTAAACTTGCTTAGCCATAGAAAAAGGTGCTTGTGTAAATGTATGTGTGAATGAGTGAATCAAGTTTGCAATAAGCAAGCACTTAAGGATGCATGCATGCTTGTGTTGCCTCTTAAAGATGCTGTCAAAAAAACTTTAAAAAAAAGGTAAGAGTGAAGTCAAACTGATTTATAAGACCAATTCAAAACAACAGCCGAACAGTTAAAATGACATAAAACAACAGGGCAGGTAAATCAAATGAAAATAGGATGGAAAAACACCAATAAAACAGTATAAGAAAAGAGTAATTGAGTGAAGTGGTCACTTAATATTAATTGCGTGTGTGTGTGTGTGTGCGTGTGTGTGTATGTGTGTGTGTGTTTTAAAAATATAATTTGGTGTTCAAAAAGAGAAAAGAAAATCAAAGTTTATAGAAAAAGAGATTTTAAAAGGTACCTTGTTATCTTGCTGTTATTCTTTCCAGGATTTTAGTATTGAATGAATGGAACTAAAAGTCCCCTTTTTGATTTACGAGACAAAAAAAAAATCTGGCTACCTCTGTTGCACGACGTCGGCATGCCTGTTTACGGCAGCAGCATCTCTGGGAGTGGCGGTAGAAGAAGGAGGAGGAGAAGAAGAAGTTGCCAGCATGGCGTTTACTCTTTACTCTCTCATCCAGACCGCTATTCTGTGTACCAATGCAATCGCTGTGTTGCATGAGGAGAGATTTCTCAGCAAGAGTAAGTGTTTAAGTGTATTTTATGTCACGTACAGTGACACGTTATGTCACGTATAGTGAAATAACTGGTTAAAAGCAGCTAGCTACGCGTATACACTTAGCAGGCTGCCTTTTGGTTAATGGAGAGGCTCCTGTTTGGGATTTATAAGGAAGAATTAAGGCTTGAGCATTACAGAGAAAAAAAATGCAAAGTTTTGAATAACATTAAAGCTGCTGGTCTTTTTTTTAAACTGGAAAATAAACGTATACATGCATCTGCTATCTCATTTACTGGTGTTTCTCATCTTTCTTCCCATCTGTCTCCTGTACTTTCTCTTCTCCTTTCTCCGTGTGTCTGCAGTTGGTTTCGGTGTTGACCAGGGAGTTGGAGGTTTTGGAGATGATCCAGGAATCAAAGCCCAGATTCTCAATCTCATCCGCTCAGTCCGGACTGTCATGAGAGGTCGGTAGGCTGTATTGTTCATAAATCCTTAGCAGATCTTAAAAATAGGTACATGTACTCTCATATTAACTGTAACTGTGAAGCTACAACAGAGTAGAGGTAGTGAAGGCTTGAGGTTAAAAACCTGGGGCAGTGCACAAGAGAGGTGAAGAAGAGAGGAGAGACAGGGTGGAGATAAGTGTTAAGAGTGATTTATGGCAGGAATGTTTAAAAGACAGTAGTGAGACCTGCTGTTTTATATGGTTTAGAGACAGAGGTGGCACAGTTGAACCTGAGATTTTCATTGGGAGTGACCAGAGTAGCCAGGATTTATGAGTTTCATGTAGTGAAAGAGGACATTCAGAGGGTTGGTGTGTTAGAGGAGGACTTTGGACAGACAAGACCAAAGTGGAGATTTGGGGTTGTTTTGCACCCACCGGACCTGGTCACGGCCAAAATTGGGTCAATCGGGATGACAATGATCCCAATCCCAGCAGCAAATCTACTACAGAATGGCTGAAAAAGGATAAGAATTCAAATGCTTCAGTGGCCCAGTCGAAGTCCAAAACTCAACTCCAATGAAATGCTGTGGCAGGACCTTAAGAGAACTGTGTGCACATGAATGACCACAAATATCAATGAACTGAAGCAACCCTAAAAAGAAGAGTGGGCCGATCCACAATCACGTTAGAGACTGATGAAAGGTGATTTTACAAGTTAGTGAATCGGATGCAATTAGTTTTTCACACACTGCTTCTGCATTTTGGCTTAGCTTTCATTAAATAACTAATGACACACTGTAATAGGTCATATGTAATTATTCATTTGCAGTTGCATTTGCCTATTTTTAAGATCTGCTAAGGATTTTTTGTTTAATACACAAAATCTTAAAAATGAAAGAGGGTGGACTTTAAGTTTATCATGACTGTCAACAAACATTTTTTTCTGATGTTAACAAAATCAAATAACTTTTTCCTAAATAACTCAGTATTAAATGAGCTAAATTGCTGGTGTGCTCTTCAATTTTTAATTCACTCTGTAACAGATGTATTTGAGTCAAGAATTAGCAGCTGTAATATTTCTGAGGTTGCTGATGGAATCAGTTTGATTTCTTTGTGTTTTGTACTCTTTTGTTTTTACAGTGCCTTTGATAATAGTGAATTCTGCCTGCATCGTCCTGTTGCTGCTGTTTGGTTGATCTTCGCCTACCAAACTTAGGTGGAGGACCACAAACATGCCAATGAAAAGCCACTTGCACAAAATCCTGAACTCTTTGCCATTTAGAGACTTCTGCCACTGTCAGTTATTGGGAGGGCGGAAATGTTTTTCAACTGACCGGCGCTGAAATAGAAGATCAACTGCAGATTTTTAAATGCAAAGAGTAGAAGAACCGAAAATTAGCTGGTGCAGACTTCCTGTTGTGTTTCATCACCACTAAAAGGACAAAATTGATATAATTTTGACGAAGTCATGACCACACAGGATGATGGTTTCATCTTGATCCCCGATATCATATCATTTGCAAATGTTTTTTTAAAATCAGTATTTAAATAAATTGTTGGTACAGACAGATTTGTTGACACTTCTTACTGTAAAATGGGCCTTCAAAGTTTGTTTTTTTTTTCAAACATTTATGGGGAAACTCACAGCAGGTTCAAAAAGGAACACAATTCACAAATCTCTTCATATATGTGTGTTGAATTGATTTGTAATTGGCCCATCTCTGAGAACTGAAAAGGCTAAATGGTGTAGATGTAAATTTTAAGCAATGCTGCCAAACGCAGCTCCGACCAATGTATTTTGAACTGTTTACACTTCAGTGCCACAAAAATTGAGATACTGTCTTGAAATAAATGTATCACTCAGTGTTGTGGAATTCCTTATATTATGTTGTTTTCTGTGTGTGACAGCAGACAAACTTAAACAAATGACATTTCGATAAAACTTCCGGCTGTTTTGTTGATGAATGAAATATTAGATGTGTAGGTAGTAATGAAGATAAATGTTGCCTGTCCACTCTGTCAGGTTGGTACCGATTTACACATTCACATACAGTACTGTGCAGAAGTCTTGAGACACTTCTTGTTTTGTTTTGGGTTTTTTTGCTGTTGTTTATTTTTATGTTTCTAAAGTGATCTTGAACTAAAGTTCTTTGGGAATTCTGAAGGTCTTTAAGTAGCCTGGAGCCTATTGGCTGTTTTTGCACTCATTTCAGTGCATTCCTTACCCTTTATTTTTTTATTTTCAGAAAAATGGTTGTGTTTGTTAAGCCCATCATAAGAAATGCGCCTAACTCAAGTTCTAAACCAGTGTTATATCTACGTATAACAACTTAGCGAAGAACCCATTTTAAACTGTATCTTTAAGCACTTTGTTACTAGCAGCCTGTCAAAAAACACACAATTTGTTCCCATTTTTAGTTGAATATAAGAAAAATGCCAGAGATTCGAGTGTTCTGATATAGTACTTGTACCAACAAGGTGATTCCCAAAGAGCAATTAGCCAAAACATTGGCAAAGAATATTCTGGCACAGCATGCAATGTGTCCTTAAAAGTACTGAGGAAACTGGACAAGGTGGAGGACCTAAGACAGATAAACCGTATCTGAAAGTCATGTCCTTAAGGAACAGGAAAAATATCATCAGAAATTGTCTCAGTGGAAGGGTGGCTGTCAAGAAGCAGTGTTAAGCAAGGAAAACGGTGAGAAAGGACTGAGATATACCAAATTGCACAAGAACTGAACCAAAAAACAGCAGCAATGGGTCTCATGGAGTCCTCAGTATGTAAGGAGGAGGTCAGGAAAGAGGTAAAATGGTGAGTGTTTACAGTCATCAGTAGAACAAATGGAGGTTGGGGGCTTCATTTCAGTCACTGGTTTTGGGGATCTCATCAAAATGGAATTATGAATGCAGAAAATCTTATTTTACGATTTCCCTTCACACAACTAATTAAACTTAACTCTATTTATTATTTTCTGTGCTCACAGTGGACATTTGTTAGTTAGTTGTTTACTTAGTTGTGTGAAGGGAACTCACAAAGTAAGAATTTCATTGCAGCGTAACCATTTGTGTTTTGCAGTGTATATGAAAATAAACTTCTTGAATCTTGAAGTACCATTGGATTTTGACTCTCCTTGCAACACCATCTGAAAAGCTGAACAGTAGCAGATGTATTTTTCAGTTTTTTCAATGATTCCATGCACTGCCAGTGCAGTAAAAGCATACCTAGAATTAAAATAAATAAATAAATCACTCAGTCGTGGATTGCCCTTCCCAGAGCCCAGGCATCTGTATTATTGAAGCAGCCAACATCCAAAGAAGAGCTTTGAATGTCCTGCATGATGCCTGGAGAAGTATTCCTGAAGACTATAGAAAAATTAAAAGAAAGCTACAGTATTACATACACATAATAAGGAATTTAAAATTTTGAGTATTTGTATATATCTTAGCTGGATACACTTAATAAATAGCAACTTTGTGTTTGGATTTACTGGGGAACAAAGGTCACATGCATCACTCTTTATTAAAAGTATTTTTAACAAACTTCCCTTTTTAAAAATTTTACTCTCACTCACAAAAGCGAGCACTTGTACCTGGATAAAGGATATCACTGTGTAAATATTGACATACACTATTTCTCTCAACTTCCTTTTTCTCTGTCTGTCCAGCTCCACATCATTAATAATCTCCATATGCAGTGAATTATCACCACTCTCTATCCAGCTAAGCTCCCCTTTTATTAACATTAGATGGAGGAGGGTGCGAGGGCAAAAGGGGATCTGCTGGAATTACAAGCATATGTTTATCAGAGAGATTTGTGCTGTAAAGCCACTTTGACATGTGATTCGTTTAGCTTGGAGGTCAGGAAAAAAACTATAAGCAAGCACGCAATTATATCTGAATATGTGTCCGCAATTCACAGGTCAGGATGTGTGGTGTTTTGATCTGTGGGCGCTAAATAATAAATCACAAAAATATGTTTTGAGAGAATTGTGGTGAGTCATTGTGCTTACTTTAGAGTTTAATTTGAAAAGTATTCATATTGAATATAATTTACTGTAGCTATAATGGAAAAATACCCATTCTGTGAAACAATACAAAATATATACAACAGAGTTTAAAGAAAAACAAAATACAACACAGATCAAATCACTGATTACAGTTTTTAAAATACATATTAGATGGAAAAAAGTGCAGGGAAGATAGAAGGCTACAGGTGTGGTGAAATTATAATTTAATAACAACAGAGCAATAGCAAGAGCCAGAGGAAGTGTAAAAAGAAAGAGCTACTGAAAATAAACCAGAATTAAAATCAGAAACAGATCAACACGTTAAAGTTGTGCTTTTGTAGGAAGGGCCTTAAGACATTGTACTGAATTAATACATTTACATTGTGAGTTTAGCTTATGTTTTCATGTTTTCCACATCTATCATGTGCGCTTCAAAATATTTATGCAAAAAATAAAACCAGAAAGCTAAAAAAACAACAGTTGTTATTCACTATGTGGAGGTAACATGCAAAGAGGATTTGATCAGCGGCCTCTGGCATCCTGTAGAGAGAAGGTCTTTATCGCTGCGTTAATACCTCCCACCATATTAAATCTATCCGAATGCACTGAGAGACCCACTAATGCGATACATCTGTTACTTGTTAGTGTGATGGGACACATATGTTTTTTATTATTCTAATGAGTGATTAAGTGGTTAAGGATAACCCTCTTAACTGATTACAAATATAGAAATTGAAAAAATATAAGTTATAATAACACGACAAAAAGAGATTGATGTTGACAAGAGAGAGTGATATTAAACATATGGTACTCCACAAAAATGTAGAACACAAGTTTTTTTCTGTTTTGAAAATATAATCCTGTACTTCATTTGAGCTGTAGGGGTCAGCAATGACCACATAACAAACCCGTTTTAAATCTACGAAGAAGAAAACGTCAACAGGAAGTAGGAGGGTTGCTGCTGATGCTGTTGAAGGTTAGTTGTACTGGCTGTTTACGCTCTCAGTAGGTCAGTTTTTAGCGCTTTTGGAGCTTTTATATAAATGGAAACTTTTATTATTAATTCTCTCATTTGGAAAATTAATAATAAAGGTTTTTTAAGTTATTGTGCCATGTATATGATTCCGAAAACATTCGAACCATTTTCTGTCTCATCACAATGAGTTTGAAAATAATTCATGCACAAAATACTAAAGCTTACTTATTGTTATTGTGTACACTACACCTCTCCTGATACAGCATGTAAACCCGGTTTTTGAAAGAGTGGTTCAGAAATATTATTTAAAATACTAAATAGCTTTCGAAAAAAATCCTTCCCCCCCACAAGGGGGGAAGGATTTTTTGACAACTAAAGTGGTCAAAAGAAGAAAACCTGCTCCTTACTGTTCACGATTTTTAATTTCTCAAAGCAGAAAGTTTTAGGACCAAACCTGTTTTTGCTTCAAAGTTTTGTCATGAGATGTTTTAATGCGAATTCTATTCAAAGATGTATTAACAGTTTTATGTATGTTTTATTCGATTCAATTATCAGACGGATAGTACACAAGTTGTCAAACAGACAGCACATCAGTTTATACACCTTTTCTCAAAAAACAGCCATTACAATGTTTAGTACAATTATGCACGCATCGTAAGTGCTGAAAGCTTTAAATGTGGAACGACAAATGTGTACGAGATACGAATATGTGTTAGATTTTTATTCTTTTCCTGCCTGTTTCCCACTTCACTGTACGCACGCTACAAGTGTGCCAGATATTAAATAAACATACGAAGTGGAGTAATGTTGTACAATACATCAGGCCTGAATGTAAGAGACTTGTCAAGCCTGTTAAGTTACATCTTTAGGTTATGATTTAGTACCTTTACCACACACATAAACCAGGTTTATTATTTTTATCCTAGCACTTTCTTGACAGTTCAGTATTTTTTCTGTTGTCTGTAGAGATGACTGCAGATGTTAGATACGTAGCCCCTACACGCTCTGCGTTTGTGTGTGTGTGTGGTTTTAGGTGGGTATTAAGAGCATTAATTGTACCCTTGCACTGATAACTACATGACAGAAATCCAAGTATGTCTAAATAATAGGGACTCATAGCCTGAAATCAAATACCTACAGATCCATAAATCTGTATTCTCGGCAGAAACCCATAACAGAAACTGGTGAGTAATCCTCTCAGTTTGGCCGATAATCTGACAGATTCTGCCACCACCACTGTGAATTATGATTATAAACATATAATCTCCAAAATAATAAATTGTTATCAAAGAATAAGCTTTTTTTT